GTTATCATATACAGTGAGAGTGGGGGGGGGATACAGTTATATACAGTGAGAGTGGGGGGGGATAGTTATCATATACAGTGAGAGTGGGGGGGGATACAGTTATCATATACAGTGAGAGTGGGGGGGATACAGTTATCATATACAGTGAGAGTGGGGGGGATACAGTTATCATATACAGTGAGAGTGGGGGATACAGTTATCATATACAGTGAGAGTGGGGGGGATACAGTTATCATATACAGTGAGAGTGGGGGGATACAGTTATCATATACAGTGAGAGTGGGGGGATACAGTTATCATATACAGTGAGAGTGGGGGGGATACAGTTATCATATACAGTGAGAGTGGGGGGGATACAGTTATCATATACAGTGAGAGTGGGGGGGATACAGTTATCATATACAGTGAGAGTGGGGGGATACAGTTATCATATACAGTGAGTGGGGGGGATACGGTTATCATATACAGTGAGAGTGGGGGGATACAGTTATCATATACAGTGAGAGTGGGGGGGATACAGTTATCATATACAGTGAGAGTGGGGGGATACAGTTATCATATACAGTGAGAGTGGGGGGGATACGGTTATATACAGTGAGAGTGGGGGGGATACGGTTATCATATACAGTGAGAGTGGGGGGATACAGTTATCATATACAGTGAGAGTGGGGGATACAGTTATCATATACAGTGAGAGTGGGGGGATACAGTTATCATATACAGTGAGAGTGGGGGGATACAGTTATCATATACAGTGAGAGTGGGGGGATACAGTTATCATATACAGTGAGAGTGGGGGGGATACAGTTATCATATACAGTGAGAGTGGGGGGATACAGTTATATACAGTGAGAGTGGGGGGATACAGTTATATACAGTGAGAGTGGGGGGGATACAGTTATATACAGTGATCCTAATATCAGAGTTTTCTTATTAATCAAGTATCTAGTTTAATAAGTATTACTATATTGTAATTAAGTGGAATAATGTATTAACTTTAATCTTTAATTTGATAGTCTTAGTAAGATTTAATATTACTGTTGTAAGGAGTCCCAGAGCTGGATGACGTTCCTGTAGGACCTGGGCTACAGGTACTGTGAGGACCCCCCTGGGCTACAGGTACCGTGAGGACCCCCCTGGGCTACAGGTACCGTGAGGACCCCCCTGGGCTACAGGTACTGTGAGGACCCCCCTGGGCTACAGGTACTGTGAGGACCCCCTGGGCTACAGGTACTGTGAGGACCCCCCTGGGCCACAGGTACTGTGAGGACCCCCTGGGCCACAGGTACTGTGAGGACCCCCTGGGCCACAGGTACTGTGAGGACCCCCCTGGGCCACAGGTACTGTGAGGACCCCCCTGGGCCACAGGTACTGTGAGGACCCCCCTGGGCCACAGGTACTGTGAGGACCCCCCTGGGCCACAGGTACTGTGAGGACCCCCTGGGCCACAGGTACTGTGAGGACCCCCCTGGGCCACAGGTACTGTGAGGACCCCCCTGGGCCACAGGTACTGTGAGGAACCCCCTGGGCTACAAGTACTGTGAGGCATAAGGATAACCATTAATTTTCTACCCCAAAATCCAATATCATGGGGAGCTCTAAATCCATAGGATTATACAGCGCCTGTGGGGGGGGGATGGAAGGTATTCAGATCCAATTCCCTAGATCAAGAGCTCCCTCACCAACATCAAGGAACCTCCCTTGAGGGGACGAAATCCAATAGGAGATTTAAGAAAATGTTGACAAGCTCCAGTGTTGTATGCAAAAGAGAGTTGCTGACTCGAGTATGACAGCCCAGAAGTCTGCCAGGAGGACTGTTTACAAGTGTAATAGCTGCTATCATATAGTGTTTGCGTCATAAGGCGTGTTAGCTTTCTGATTTACATCTGAGATTAGTAAGTAAGTAAGTTTATTCAGGTATACACAAATACAGTTACATAGAATTATCATACATAGCAACATATGTGTAGAGAACCTAGGATAACCCAAAACTTCTTGAGAATAACTGTAGCCTTTAGACAAGGCTTCTGTAGTATTGGCCCTTGTAGACCATGTAGTATCTGACGCTCGTAACTAATGTAGATTCTCTTACACTGTCAGCTTAGACCACTGGAGCATTACTGACCAACACTGAGTTAAACCAGCCCTGGATAAGGTAAAGCCAAGTGGAAGGAAGTTATGTCCCAGGTAATGTGTAGAGGCGAGGTTATGTACTGTCTCAGCTCGTTACGCATACTTCCCATTACTCATTCTCTCCCTTGTTCATTCCTTCACCACTCTTAACCTCTGGTTTACTCCCCATATACTCCACCCTCATCGCTTCTTGTACTAACCTTTTCTTTACCCAATCTTTACCTCATTTCAACACCCACCTTCCTGTACCCATAAACTACTGCTGTACACTAACGTTACATTCTCAAATCTACCCTCGTACTTGTTTTAGAGTCTCCTTAGTACTTGTACTCTCTAGCCCAACATTCTCCCGGGACTTACTGAAATTTCGCCCTTATTTTTTTCATCCATTTAAAAACTGTTGTGTCTTACCCACTGATTAAATTTTAATTTATCCAGTCTACCTTTTACTCTGTACCTATTACTATATTCTTTATATATCTTTTACCCCTTCTAAGAAACCAAAAACAGTCACCTTCTGAAATTCACTCATTAACCTTTTATCTACTAATAGTCTAAAACATTACGTATACATTCTTCATGTATTTATTACTAATTTTTTATATATAGGTCAGACGGCCCTGGTTATAATTTACTCTTAATACCTCAAACCAGACCACAACAGTTTCTCATATTTCAGCATTTAGGGCAATCAATTATATTTCCCCACTGTTCTAACTATATAAACAACATCCCCAATATGTCTACGTCTCCTTTGTATTCATTTCCAGGTGTATAGTCACTTACATCCCGCTAATATCAATATAATTCTTCCATAGTTGATTATTTAACATTACTGACCATTGCTAATTCTCATACTAGGCTTAACCTCGTTAACTTGAAACAAATTCTCCTTCCTCTATCTTTGTTTTGGTTAGAGTTTACGCATTCAGCTTTGTATTAATAATTTAATTCTTAAGTAACTTATACACGGGAAGGGGTTATTTGCACGTATTTTGATGTCCTTTTTACGACACATGACAGTAAGGATTTTACCCCTTCTGGTGGGAGATGAACGAAGAATTTCTAAAAAAAAAAAAGGGCGTATAGACATGCTGTGAAGGTATAAACGTCCCTTTCAGACCCTTAACCCTTAAACTGTCCAAACGTAGAACTAAGTTTTTTTACATTTGAAAATATGTAAAAAAAACGTAATCTACTTTTGGACAGTTTAAGGGTTAAAGAGGATTTGAAGGTAACTTGTTGAAAAAATAATTTTTATTGGATCTAAGCAATCTCAAAATATTAAACTACTAAATATAAGCTCTGGTGTTGGTATGGCAAGGTGGACAGGAATGGCGGGAGTGGAATGGGAAGCTAGTAATATTGTTGTGGTCCCAGGTAGTCAAAACTTGTGAAGACCAGCTCCAGAAGGTAACAACAGCTATGGTGTACAGGTAACAGTTCCTTGGAGCTGGCTGGGGTAGACAACTGGATATCGGCAACAGGCTTAGGATTGACTGGGATAGCCTAGGATAGGGTGGGTATTACGACCCTGGTATCCTTTATTGGAGAAATAGTAACTCTGTCCTTTTGGTATGTGCGAATCTGTAGTTTCGTTATAGTTGTACAAGCAGAATCTCTCACAAGATTTCTTACAGAATATTTGGCCGCAAGAGTCGAGGGATTACTTAGCAATTTAGGTAAATAGGAGTAGTGGTGGTTGTATATGATTTGTAGTCAAAATTCCTCCAAGCCACTATAGGTTCTTACAGTCATCAACACCATGCATTTGCATGGTATGCACACTTTGCAAATGCAGCAACTCCTGGCACTATCAACACCACCATAAACAAACTATTCCGTCTGAATAACATGCTCGATTTAGTTTCCCTGGACTACACACTTTTAGTTTCCAGATTCTTCCCAACGTTGTCAAGTTTACTGAAGCTGATAAATTAGACACATGTACAACTTTTGGGTATCTTTATTGAGGAAACGTTTCGCCACACAGTGGCTTCATCAGTCCATACAAAGGAGAATCTTGAAGAACAGGAGGAGAATGAGGTAATCAGTCCCTCAACCTTGAGTCGATGTGGTCAGTCCATCAATCTTGAAGCTGAAGCTGCAGACACCTCTCCTGGAAAATCCACATCATCATGGGAGCGCGCTAAACCTGTAGGATTATACAGCGGGGGGAGGGGTGGAAGGTATTTAGGCTCAATTCAGGGAACCGGAGCACAAATCCGAGTCCCTAGATCAAGAGCCCTCACCAGCGTCAAGGAACCTCTGAAAACGCTGTTTATTCTGCCTCAACCGCAGCCTCCCAATCTGTTGACATATCACCAAAACAACCGCAGTAGTCCTGCCGTCCCAGGCTCCTGCCGGAATCATTGTAGACTACGAATATATAACGATGATATTGATTCCGGCACTAGCTCACCTACTTGGGACAACACGTCTACAAATTCAAGGCAACCATGACCTACACAGCTGTACAAAGGTCTGTGCTGGGTCTGTCAAGTTAGAGCGGGAGACTATTTTTTTTCACTTATCCAAGTCCTGGAGTTTTTCCAAACCACTCCACACCTCTAGAACCAATTTAAATTTGAGAACAGCTCTTTCACATGCTCCACGTTTATTAACACCAAATGAGCTGCCTCTCGCCTGCCTTCCCTCCTGCGAGTAAGTCTCCTGCAAGCTACCCAAGAACAAAGTCTTCCACCAACAGACCAATGCAGTTTCCTTTTGATCCTGGTGCTCATGCCTTTCCCAGTTTGGCCCCACGAGCGCCTAGCCGTTGGGTTAAGCCCTGACAGTTTCTCTAGGACTGGACACTAACTGTTCCTCACTTGTCTCATCTATGCTTAGCCTATATAGCGTCTTACCTGAACTGTCTTGGTTGCACAGAAGCAGAATTATCAAGACGAGGGCTTTGAAGAGATAGTTGACCTGCACAGTAGAACGGCAGCGTTCTCGTAGTGATGAAGTGTAGATCCAAACCGAAGGGGGAGGGATAGCAGAGTTTCTCCCAGTAAGACGAGATATCACTTCAGATCTATGATTAGGTAAAGTTCTTATGGCACATTCGTCGGGTGAGCAGAACCATCCAGTAAGACTGAAAAGTAGATAAAAGTAAATTACTAACCGGAGAAGTCAATCATTCACTCACACAAAAAACGTACCACGGGCGGTATAGAACCCGCGATTAGTCAAAACTCCAGATCGATACGTTAGCCACTGGGCTAGCTGGCTATAAAACTCGTCCAACTAGGTATGTTTGTACACTATTGGAAGGTTAGCATGGGCCACCACTGTGACCACATGCAAGTTTTTACAGGCGAATCTCCCGCCAACGGGGTCGTAACGAACTCTAGCTCAAGTCCTCTCAAAACCGTCATGACGTTTGCAATCATGTTAGTACAATTTAGTATATATACTAAATTGAATGAACCTTATTATATCCAGCTTGCCCAGTGGCTAAGACGTCAGTCTGAGTTTTATGATTGACCGCGGGTTCTAACCCCGCCCGTGGTATGGTTTGTTTGCAAACGTGATGGGCTGACGGCCTCTAAGATAAATAGTGATAATTAAACATTACATTATTAATGGCAAACAGGATAAAAATCCTAACAAGAACAGAACTCGTGTTGATAACAAATGATATTATTATTAAAGATTCGCCGGTATTCTCCCGGCCCGGGCCTTTTCCAAGTGGTGGCCCGGCCTTGGCTCCCTCTTTAGGGAGTGTCTGAGACCTAAGTCTCCCATGGGAGGAGGCACAAGTACCTCCTCATCTTTGGGACCAACTGTCCCCAGGCCTAGCCACAAGCTAGGCCTCTCTGGTCTGCCATCCCAGCCTCAAAGGGGCTAATGGGAATGACAGTCTTGTGAGCTGTAAGCTCGGGCTCAGGCACCTACCCTACCCTAGAAGGGTTAGGCATGGTGTCGATGACCAACAAATGATAATACAAACATGAACAACCAATCAACAGTGGAACTCCATCCATACTTACAGACTTGATGAAAGAAGGGAGTCAAATAAAGCTACTCCGCCAGCAAGGGTCCCTTGTTGTCTCGCCCAGTGGACGAGGAGCACTGGGGGGGTAACTGCTTACATACCCCCCCTTTCTAAACAGTTATACCTCCAGTCACACTTCCTTAACCACTCATTCAGTCTTCCATTCTTACTGAACTTTTCCCTCACACATACATGTACATATATAATTACATGTGTAGTATGAACGAGGTGTTATTAGAGGTGTTGAGACAGGAAAACAAGATACCACGTTATCGTACACTATTTGGCAGGACGGTAGTACCTACCTCGCAAGTTACCAACCCTATACCTACATATTTACAACCTGAATATTCTATACTACTCGGTATATCTTCATATACCCCAGTATATCATAATATATACCCCAGTATATGTTATGATATAAGTCATACTGACTTCTTTTGGTTATCCAAGATTCCTTACACATAACTCACGAAATCGTAATGACACGTAATGACACGGGTGGGGTTAGAACCCGCGGGTTTTGAGACTGATCGCGGGTTCTAACCCCACCCGTGGTATGGTTTGTTTACACATATGCTGCTATGTATGATAATCTATATAACTAGATTATATCTTGTTTATTTATAGCAGACTAATTTTACTCAAATTACAATAGTTTCACTAGTAAATATTGAAATTATATTATGGGAATATATGGGAGTTGTTGATAGTAGTTTATAGTATGAGAATGTTACAATTGTGTGTAAGGTAGTATTTGAAGTTTTAAGATTTAGGTAATTGGGAGATTTTTTGGTATAGTTAAATATTTTTTTTTTTATTTAAAAAACACAATACACATCATACATGTATGCTATACTTAGGTTACATGAACAAAGAAACGTGATCCATTAAATAATAAAAAGAATCAACTTCACATTCCTTATCCCAGCACTAAACTTATACATAAGAAAAACACGTTCAACTGTAACTGCTTGATTCTCCCTCCAAAGTGCCCAACCAGCACACACAACATACATGTAACTAAACACAGCCCACACCTGTACATACAGCTGGGTTTATTATATCCATAAACTACAGCCAGTATCTTATAACACAAAAGGCAATATAATCCAAAGAATGTCACACTTATTTACATATAATCCAATTCGTTGAACACTCATTAATATTGTATATTAAACTTTATACACAAAGACATAATACTAAACACCTCAAAAATTACAATATGATAAAGGTGAGAAAATAGCCATTTCCACACCTTACCACAGAGAAACTAAACACACTATTAAAATAACAACATGTTACATAGCACATTATTATCAGTGTTAACAATGCTTTGAGTGTTCCTTCTTGTAGTTGTCTCACTGACAAAGATCATTTACCTTATTAAAACTATGATCATCAACGACCTCTTGTCTTTCAACACATGGTTAAACTAAAACATTCACACACAAGAAAACTCTACAATTATACCACATCTAACATGTCATCCCTCCCATACAACTCTCATGACAATCCTACCACATTTACATATCCTCTTTTATGGTCATAACTCGCCCCTTGAAACAGGAAAATGGTCCTTAGTACTTAAGTAGCCAAATTACTGAGTCCCATACCGTTATATTCTATATGCCTCCGGGAACGCAGTTGCCCCACTGTTACCATAAATGAGTTTATTTCTGCATACCGTGCGATTAAATTCCTGCCGCAATAGCCCTTACCCTAATCCCCCCCGCCTTTTTCCCTTTCAAGCCCCGGGAAAATAAAACAAGAAATCTGTCACAATGTACAGAATGGTCTTTTTACAACCTCAGACACCCCCCTTACCTCTAAAGTTTAGGGCACGCAGGAGTCTACATTGCCCCCACCCATTAACTGAAGACTTCTAGCCAGCCACACCCGTACCTCCCCCAACTCCCTTACAAAAATATACGGCATGAAAAGCTTTTTCCCGATTCCTCACAATGTTCGCATTTCGCCTCCTTTACCAAACCCATCACACACAAAGCCTGCTTTGGACGCTAAAACCCCCATTACAAACCTATAAACTAACTCCTTCCCCTAGGCATTAATCTAAGTTCTGGAAATCATGCCAAATCGTACCCCAATCATAAAAAGGGGTATCCCGCCCCCCCTTGCATCACTTCTGGTTTCCTACTATCTCTACTAACATTCCCACCTTGAGCTTTTTTACCTCCCCTATTACTAACATAACCCTTAGCATATTTCAATTCCCTCAAGTCCTTTCCTCCCCACCATCGTCGTACATCCCCCATCCCCTCCAACCCTCACCCTTTTACCCCCCTCCCTTACGTACTCTGCTTAACATACATGGCCTTTACCCTCGGCCCTTAGCATCAAAAGCCCTACTCCCCCTCTGCGCACATTCGTCATAACCACCTCTTTACTTGGGCCATGCTCGTCCAAAACCCCATATATAACGAAGCACCCTTCTCTGTATCTCCTTTATTTCCCCTGTTCCCGTAAAGGATACCACTGCCACGTTCCACACTTTACTATAAACCAATGAATTTATTATTATTGCCCTTTGCTTTAAGTAACATCCTTCGCTCTTAGGTTCCTAATCCGTTGTACAACTTTCTCTCCCACCAATTCCGAATTCCTCCGTCTAGCCACTTGCTCATCTGCCATATAGATAATCCCAAAAATTTTCAGCTGTTCAGTCACAATCCCATCCAGACTCCACCCCATTCTACCCCCCACCCAATCCCCCTGTCTTAATAATTTCGATTTAGCTCTGTTGACACGCATGCCTGACGCCTCTCCAAAAAACCTCATTATCTCTCCCCCTTTCGCAAACCTTCGCATCATTGATCAGTATTGTTGTGTCATCTACATAACCAACTACCTCTGTGAACCCCGACCCTCCCCCTGTACGCTGTTGCTTCCTCAACCATTCCATAAAACGGGTTTTTGCCATACATGCAAACAGAATTTGAGACCATAGGACCCCCCTGTCTCAAACTTTCTCCTTTTTTCAACAGTACCCAACCTACCTTTAAATTTTTGCACCTGAATCATGGCTTCTGCATACAAGGTCTTCCCCCATTTTTACTTTTCCCCTCCCAAAACCCATAAGCCTTAAAGTGTCAACCATGTATCTCTATTCACACCGTCATAAGCATTCCCCCAAATCAATGCCCAAAATTCCACCACCCTTACAACCCTGCAAAATTCCCTAATCGATATGTCCATCCCTCATACTACGACCTGGAATTCCCAACTGACCCTTGTGCACCATACCACCTATTACCTTCTTCATCCTGTTCCCTAAAATCTTCCCCCAAAAAAATCTTATATATCCGTACACATTAAAAAATATGGCCCTGTAATTGCCCAGTGTTCCCCTCGCTTTTTTTTTTTTACAAGCACGACCACACCCGTCCTCTGTGACGTTCACAATTTCCCCTTCTTCAGCATACAATTCAATACCGAACCAAACAAACATTTATGGTTTCCCAATGCACTCTGTAAAAATCATTGGAAAGCTCTCAATTCCCGGTGCTTTCCCTTACTTAAATTGAAAAACTGCCTCTTTCACTTCTTCCATACTTATTTTCCCTCCAATCCCCTCTGTCCTCCCCACCTTTCCCAAGACCTTCACCCCTCCTCTTTCTTTATTAACTATACCCACATTACCTTTTTCCCTTTTCCTTTTAAACCAATAGTCCGCATAATTACTTATCCCCTCAGTTGTCCCCAACATTTCCCCCTTAGTATAACCTTCCAAATCGTCACTAACCTCTAACAGAATTATAGTGGACTCCTGTTGTCTAATGCGAAAACTTCTTAACACACAAACCCGACGGTTTATCTCCCCCATTGAAACGGCATCAATACCTGCCCTTACCCTTAATTCATCAAATCTTTCTTTATGTATGTCCCTTAGTCTCCCTTTAGCCATGATATTTCTTCAAAAGACTTCTCCTCATCTCTTGCGTAACATCATTGAGCTGCTGTTCCAAATAATTCTGTAAACCGTACCTCCACCTCGCCTCCTCCTTTCCTTTATATTTATAAAACCCTGCGATACCAGGTTTAGCCCTATTTTCCCACCAATCCAAAATACT